AACTTTTTTTCAACAGAATATTTAAACTATTTTTCAATTAAAAACATAAATAGAATATCCAAACAAATTGAAAACACAAAGTCTTACAAATTACTAGGGGTGCTCGCGGTTTAGCGGTTCGGTTGCGGCCAAAAGAACATCAAATCCGCCATCCGTCCATAACTAGGTAGATTGAAAAAAATCAATCTGCAATCGTTAACTCGTCATCATGCATCCGTCCAAAATACGGCGGATCGGTGCGGTTCTGTTGGTTTTGTCAGATCGGTATATCCACTGAGTGATAGAGGTGGTGAATATGAATCACCTTTTGGTGAGTTTTGTAAAGAACATGGAATTATTCATCAAACCACCGCTCCTTTCTCACCTCAGCAAAATGTAATTGCTGAAAGGAAAAATAGGACTTTAAAAGAAATGATGAATGCCATGTTAATAAGTTCTGGATTACCTCAGAACTTGTGGGGGGAAGCAATACTTTCTGCTAATTATATACTTAATAAAGTACCCCGAAAGAAAGTGAATCAAACACCTTACGAATTGTGGCATGGAAGAGTACCATCCTACAAATACTTAAAAGTGTGGGGGTGTTTGGCTAAAGTGGCTATTCCTAGTCCTAAAAAGACTAAGATAGGTCCTAAGACCATTGCTTGCATTTTCATTGGTTTTGCCAATAATAGTAGTGCATATCGGTTTTTGATTCATAAATCAGAACATTCCGAAATGCATGTAAATACTATTATTGAGTCTCGGAATGCATCATTCTTTGAACATGTATTTCCAAATAAGACTGGACAAGAGACTAGTAGTCATAAAAGATCTCATGATGCCATTACTAGTCAGGATCAAGAACATGATCAAGAACAAGAGTTAGATCAAAATGAGGAAGAAGAACCTAGGCGTAGTAAACGTGTTAGAAATTCAAAATCTTTTGGTCCAGATTTCCTAACATTTTTGTTAGACAATGAGCCTTTAACTTTTAAAGATGCTATGTCCAGTCCTGAAGCTCCTTTATGGAAAGAAGCTGTCAACAGTGAAGTTGAATCCATCTTGCAAAATTACACTTGGGAATTGGTGGATTTGCCACCAGGTTGTAAACCTCTTGGCTACAAGTGGATTTTCAAAAGAAAATTGAAAGCGAATGGATCAATTGACAAATACAAGGCTAGACTTGTGGTCAAATATTTTAGACGAAAAGAAGGTCTTGATTACTTTGACACATACTCACCGGTTACTAGAATAACATCCATTAGAATGCTAATTACCATTGCATCTCTATACAATCTAGAAATTCATCAAATGGATGTGAAAACTGCTTTCTTAAATGGTGAGTTAAATGAAGAAATTTACATGGAACAACCAGAAGGGTTTTCTGTTCCAGGGAAAGAAAAGAAAGTGTGTAAATTGGTTAAATCATTATATAGTTTAAAACAAGTGCCAAAGCAATGGCATGAGAAATTTGACAAGGCAATGATGTCAAATGGATTTAAAATTAATGAGTGTGACAAATGTGTTTGTATTAAAAACACAGCCAAAGGTTATGTCATTATATGTCTTTATGTAGATGATATGCTCATAATAGGTAGTAATAATGATATGATTAAAACTACTAAGAAAATGTTGAATAAACATTTTGACATGAAGGACATGGGCATTGCTGATGTAATTCTTGGAATGAAAATTACCAAAACTTTAGAAGGATATGCTTTGTCACAATCTCATTACATTGAGAAAATACTTGACAAATTCAGCAAAGATGATGATCATCACCTGTAGATGTTAATTTGTATCTTTCTAAGAATGTATAGGAAAATATTTCTCAATTGGAGTATGCCCAAATTATTGGAAGCTTAATGTACTTGATAGAATCTTGAGGCGTAGATTGTTCATACCAATATGGTATTAGCCGACAAGGAATCAAAAAGAATGTGTTTAGAAATTTGTGATAAGAAAGACCAGTGAGAATATGTTTTGTAAATGCAAAAAGGTTGTGAGTTAGAAAGGATTCATTTATAAACATTTGAATTGATTATTAGAAAATTTAGAATTTATTTACTTAGGCATTTGGAATCTAATATGAGATTGTTGAGATAAGTAGAATGAGATTGTTATTTCGAGTACCTTAACTAATTGTGAGCAAAGTGTCTAATTCAAGACCCATCCATTCATTTGAAGCCAATTGTTATAAGATGAATGTATCATTGGAAATATTATTGTGTAATAAAAACAATGTTTCTTCGTTTGTCAGAGAATTATATTAGTCCTTGAGACAACTACTCTCTAATGAATTATTTCCATAGAATATGTTAAGTCTAAAGACAACATAGCGGATCCACTAACCAAAGGGTTAGCAAGAGAGTTAGTTGAGAACTCATCGAGGGGAATGGGATTAAAGCCTATTAAATAAGAGTTACCACAACGGCAACCCAACCTAGTTGACTGGAGATCCCAAGATCTAGGTTCAAAGGGACAACCGAGTTGCGATTGACTTAGAAGGATCACTGGGGAGTCTAACTCCTACCCATTTCTATGATGAAATAGTGATGTCTGCAGCGTTTTAGGTTAAGTCAAACTTTTAATGATTCTTATATCTTGGTTAACCTAGTGGAGTATAGCAGGATACTTTTCATAATAATCACCTATGTGAGTGTGAACTGGGCCGGTTCTATGAGATTTGTGAAGGGCTACAATTCTCTAGAGCACTCATGAAAGACCAGGTTGTTCAGGGCCGAAATGAACACAATAGTGAGAACTAAACTGTGTCTGGGAATATACTATGTGAGTTCTTTTGTCTTGGTTTACAAAAACGGCTAAACAGTTCAAGACATCATGTTCACTGGTTAGCTAGTAAATCCGATAGTATCTCATAAGGGAAGGTTCAAAGCCAAAAGTTACCTATCATTTGCAGAATATTACCAATTTTTGTACTCTCCGAAATTAGATCATGTTGTTGCATTTTCTCTCCGTCAAATTCCATTCATGTGGGGGATTGTTGGAAAAATAGTTTAATATAGGCGTATTTTTTGAGCCCAAAATTGAGTGGCCCCAAACGTCTTTTTGAGTGGGTCCGAAGAGGTGAAGTATTCTTTGCCGCGTGGCAAGTCACACGGTGAAGACGGAACGTCAAAACCATTTATGAGTGAATGGGAAGTTGACGTCGTTTTCGGGTCTAACATTAATTTTTTAGATAAAATTCATTTGAATTTTTTCAATAAAAATTATTGTGAGAATTTAATTTAATTCTAAAATTCAAATTTTGGGTTCCTAAGTGGTTTCCTAAAATTTGTAATTGTGAGAATTTAATTTAATTCTAAATTTAAATTTTAGATTCTTAAAAAGTTTCCTAAATTTTGTACCTCTTTATTTATTTATTTATTTAACTATTTCAATAGTTTAATATATATATATATATATATATTTGAAATAGTTTAAATAATAAATGAACCTACTGTTCCTTTGTTTGACCAACGGAAACTTTTCAAATTTGTTTTCAAAATGCTAACGGTCAAATTAATGTTTGAATTCATGGTGCACCTGTTCATTTCTTTAGTGCATCGGTTCATTCCGGGTTTGGTACCTGTTCGGGCCTTTGGAAATTTGCCTATAAATACAATCTGATTCCACTACAAGAAAAAACATTTTTAGCGACCACCAATTTTTTTTGTCGCAAATAGTCCACTTTCTGCGACTAAAATTTAACTTTTGGCGACCACAATTTTTTGGTCGCAGAAAATCACCTTTTGGCGACCAAAAAAAAAAGTTGGTCGCGGAAAGTAGGTTTTGGCGACCAAAAAAAAAGTTGGTCACGGAAAGTATACCCTTTGGCGACCAAAAAAAAAAGTTAGTCGCGGAAAGTTATGGCAGTATAAATTTTTAAAAAAAGGATACTACTGTAATTACATGCTATTTTTCTATTTAGGCATTAAAAGTTTTATAAAATAATATATAACCCAATTTTTATGGGTTATATATTGTTTTTGTCAAATATGAACAAGAAGTATGTTATTGGCATAGTGGATTGGGTGCATGGTGACTCCTTGGTCAGGAGTTCAAGTCCCAGGGAGCACAAAAAAATTATTTTTTTTGGGTCAAGGTGCTGACTTTTGGCGACCAACTTATCTTTGGTCGCTAAAAGTTTACTTTTGGCTAATATGAATTGGACTTTTCGCGACCAAAAAGGTTGGTCGCGAATGGTCACTTTTAGCGACCAAAGGCTTTTTTGGTCGCAGAAAACTATCTGTGACGAGGCTTTAGCGACCAACTCGCGACCAACATATTTTGGTCGCGAAAAGGTTTTAGCGACCAAATATGGCTGACTTTTGGCGACCAACTTATCTTTGGTCGCTAAAAGTTTACTTTTGGCTAATATGAATTGGACTTTTCGTGACCAAAAAGGTTGGTCTCGAATGGTCACTTTTTGCGACCAAAGGCTTTTTTGGTCGCAGAAAACTATCTGTAACGAGGCTTTAGCGACCAACTCACGACCAACATATTTTGGTCGCTAAAAGGTTTTAGCGACCAAATATGATACTTTTCGCGACCAAACATGTTCGTCACAGAAAGTGTTTTTTCTAGTAGTGTTCCAGCAATCTAGGGATCGGGAAAAAATCAATCAAGTTGTCTCATTGTTGTCCAATTTTTCTCTAGTGCATTTATTCTTCATATTTAGTTTTAGAATAAATTAAAGAGAGTATAGATCACAGGTTTGGTTCGCCGAACAAATTGTTTGAAGTGCTACTACAATTTGTGAAGATCATTGTATTCTGAGAGATAGACGCCACTCAACTATAAGTACCGTAGCGGAGCGAATTTGTCTTAAGGATAGAGTGTCACACACTCGACTTTATCTTAATTTTAATTCGGTTCGATAAATAAATCTGATATGTTTTTTATTATTTTATTTAAATTTATTTCAAGTTATTTTATATACACAAAATATTGTTCCAACACTTACCCCTATCAGGAGGTCTTTCGGAAGAGAAAAGTTAGGGATCATGAAATTTTTTTCATGAAAATGATCATGAAAGATTTATGATCCTTAGATTACCTTGATTAGTGTGTAGTGCTTTATTCTAAGTGTAATCTAAGGGTCACAAAGCTTTCATGATTATTTTCATGAAATATTTTTCATGATACCTAGCATTGTTGCTTTCGGAATGGATTCCAAGCAAGGCGTCAAGAAGGCACTCTCGACGAGGTCTACTTCAATCTGGAACACTACGTCCATCGTGGTGGCAGGCCTCTTGATTCCACCCTACCCACCGCCCATGCCTTCGTTAGCACCACGCTTAACACCGCTTGGCATCCCAGCCTCAACATTGAGACTAAAATTGAGGTATATCGATACGAGATATATGCTCCCGGTGGCATTTGGGTCGCTGAGACTCATGGTGATCGTTACCAGTACGCTGCCCGAGACGGGGTCTGCTTTGTTGCTGGGATCGCCCCTCAATACATCCGGTCTGCCCAACTCTTCAGGCTTATTGCTAGCACGAGGTATACAAGACTGGAGAAAATAGATAACGTAATAAGAATAAATGGGAAATTCAACCCACAATCGCATCCATCAAGGTTGCTCAACATTCGGAGGCCAATATTTGATTGCTTAGATGCAAATTGTGGGAGGGTGCCTCTAACCATTAGTATTTACCAACCCAGTGCCATCTCCGTCTCCGAGCAAGAGAAACAACAACAACAGGAAGTGTCCATCGACTGTGACTTTGACTGTGACACCACCCATTGGTATGCTGGCAATGTAGCTAACTCTGAGAGCTACATGAATGCTGCATTTCGTTCATCTCGTACAAATGAAGCCTATATATTCATGCAGGATGAGTGTGTGTTACTGGAATATGCACCAAGCTCGACATATGAGAAGGTGTTGCATGGACCGGTTCTTTTCTGCCATGGGTATCCATCCCTCACAGGCACAGCCTTTGCAGAACATGGAATAGACTGTGCTTTCGGGTCTCATAATGAGAATGAAGCGTCCATCTTCTCCGGGAATCTCTGTGCACAGATTAACTACACACCAGGCACCACCAATGACAATATAATCAAAGGCCCGATGACCATTACTGCAATGTTCCCCTCCTTCAAAGGGACAGTCTTTGAAAGCGGTGTAGACGCCGCGTTTGAGTCAACTAAAAGGTATGAAGCTTACCTCTTCAAAGAAAACCAGTATGCTTATATAAACTACAGTTCTGATTCCCACCTCTTTGTCACCACTCAAGGCTTTCCTAGTTTGAAAAACACCATCTTTGAAAATGGAATTGATGCAGCGCTGGCTTTGCACAGGACTGATGAGGCATATCTATTCAAAGGGGATTCCTATGCACGCATCAACTTTGCTCCCGGCACCACAAATGACTACATAATGGTTGGCGTGAAGAAATTTTTTCCCAATTTGCCCTCTTTACATTGCATCTTGCCTCGCAAAAACCATGGTCTTGAAGTTCATGATCACACTAAACCTGATGATGATCGTGACCATGATGAACTCTAAAAAGTCAATCCTACACACCAAAAGGTGGATGGAATGCTTTGAATAAGAGTTTGGCTCGGTGGTTTGGCAACTTCTATCTAATTTATCTTTAATTGGAATAATTAAAGGAGTAGTGGGGATTTTATCTTTGGATGAAGACAGGAATTTGTAACCGGGCATCAATAAATATTGGGTAAATTACAAACACCTCCCTCGAGATTTGGTGAAAATAAAGATTCTCTTCTGAGGTTTGAGAAATTATATCCCGCCCCCTGAGGTTTATATTTTCATAACAAATTGCCCCCTGAAGTTTTTATTTTCATACAGATTCTCCTTTAATTTTTCTTAATTTGTTATGAAAATTTGACCTCAGGGGACAATTTATAATTTCTCAAACCTCAGGGAGAATCTGTATTTTTATCAAATCTCGAAGGGGGTGTTTGTAATTTTCCCATAAATATTTATTCTTGAAAAATTATTCAACGAATGTTACGTTCATTGTTGCCCCCAGATTCTCCTTTAATTTTTCTTAATTTGTTATGAAAATTTGACCTCAGGGGACAATTTATAATTTCTCAAACCTCAGGGAGAATCTGTATTTTTATCAAATCTCGAAGGGGGTGTTTGTAATTTTCCCATAAATATTTATTCTTGAAAAATTATTCAACGAATGTTACGTTCATTGTTGCCCCCAGATTCTCCTTTAATTTTTCTTAATTTGTTGCCAATTTAGTGTGGAAACCTCATTCTCTACAGTTTGTGCAAATACGACACAATAACATCATAAATGACAATCGTTATAGTAGCAACTCATTTACATATACATTTTGCCAATTTAGTGTGGAAACCTCATTCTCTACAGTTTGTGCAAATACGACACAATAACATCATAAATGACAATCGTTATAGTAGCAACTCTTTGACGGAAGATAACCACAACCCTCACAGTAAAGGAACCTAAGCGGGAATCCGAGTTTCAGAGCAAAGCTCCATCTAAATTTTTATCTATAAGACCCACCAGTCTCCATCATTCACTCCTCCTCCAAGAGATTAGGCCCTCTCAAGGGTAAATGCGTCAGTTTGGACCTTTTTTGCCTAGGTGTGGTGTGGTGTGGTGTGGGGGAGCTTCTATTTGCACATCCCTATTCCTCTCTTTACACACACTTAATAAAAATTATTTTTATTATAATTTTATTTTTAGATGAAATTACTATTATAGACATTAAATAAATACATTCGGAATTTGAATGTCGAAAAAATAAAAAAAATTCGGAACTCTACTTCCGAACAAGTTATTTCTTTTCGGAATGCTACTTCCGAACCAATTGTTTATTTTCAGAAATCTACTTTCGAACCAATTATTTATTAAAAAAGATATGTAAAAAGGGAAATGAGTGTGTGCAAATAGAAGCTCCCGTGGTGTGGCGTGCTACATTTCTATTACAAATAAAAATAAATAAATAATTGTAGCATTAAACGCAGGGGTTTGGACTTCTTTGGCTCTGGTGTGATAGTGTTTAAATTTCAATTAAAGTCAAAAGAAACCAAAACAACATGATGATAACAACAATAAACTCTGTTGGTATTGAGATGGTGATGATTATTATTTATGATGATATAATAACAACAACAACAGCATTTCCTTTAGGAACAAAAAAATATTTTTGTAATTTATTTTTGGTTTTCACCGCCACAAACCATTCACGAGACTGCACAATCTAAAGGACCATACAGCGCTACTTTAAACTTAGCAGTTAGTAATCGATGTTACCTTCCAACTTCAAACTTCAACAGTATGAAGGAGAGAAGTGTTTCTATCACTTCTTCCAGAATATTGAATCAGCATCAGAGCTGGATCACGATATGCAGTGACTAATTCGTCAAGGAACTCCGCCATTGAAGGATCATTCTGATCATCACGGTCTTTCTTTATCAAACTCTGCATGGCACGCAAAATGCTCAGCATATATTGGTTAGACAGAAATAATGCAACTGGAAAAATTCATAAATAAAACATTAATATATGGGAAGGGAAAAAATTTAAGATTAGGCCGACTATTGCTATGGAACTACAATACGACTTCACGTTAGTACAGTGAGTAACATACAACCTACTCTCTTTTTTTTTGGGATTTTGATTCTTTTTTCTCTTTAGTAGGTAACATATACAAAATGTCTAACCAACAAGGCCTAACTTAGTTGGCCACCATGTCTTTCTTAGGGCTTAATCCCAAGGAAGTCACTTAGGTGCTTTGCCAAAGGTGGGGAGATAATTAACAATTAACATTTGCCGATCAAAAAAAAAATACAAAATGTCTTCCATATCAATTAACATCAACTAAACAATAAAAATCAAGAGGATGAAAAGATAACTGGTGTTCTGTATAAATGAACCTCAGCAGAATAATCCTGGAATATGAGTAGGAAACGTGTCCGGCAATAGTCATTGAATATAAGAGTGAGAACTGGGAGAGGAACACAAAAGCTGGATGCTAGGGGAAGTTTCTTCAACCCAAATATTCCAATTGCAATAATGTGCATCAATATAAGGGAAAATATTGTTGAACTGTGTACTACTGGCCAAAACGTTCCACCAGTCACAAACTTGGGTGCATAAATTCAATAGCTGCACAAGAAATATGCTAAAAAATTTCAAATTGCCAATCAAGCAAGCCAACACATGGGCAACACTTAAATATTCAGCATGGCTCCGCTAGGTAGATCAATGACAATTTAAAATAGAAAACAGAAAAAATCAAGACACAACACAGCAGGGGTACAATAAATAAATATATTATAAATAAATATACTCTCTGGATCCTGTAGGACGCTCTTGATCCTCAGTTAATCACCTGAAAAGAAATGAACGCTCTGGTTGGGGGTGCCGGAATTAACACTCCGACGGATAAGTCAGTGTATACTCTCTGGGTAGCTTATACCTCAAGTTGATCTTATTTTTTCTTACATACCTTTTCTTAGCTGATGCTCTTCTTTTTTATAGTCGTCCTTGATGTTGATGGTTGGGCCCACCTTTCGTCCAACGAACAATCGCTCATTCAGCTTCCTCTTCATATTCGGCCTGGTTATTCGGCCTTTGTCCCTCCGGGATAGAGCCGTACAGTACATGACTTGATTTCCTTCTTTAAGTTATTCGGCTTCCCTACGTAATAATAGATTCGGCCCCCACAATTGTCCCCAAACATCCTACTAATGTCAGTTAGTCGGCATGTTTGGTTTTGGACTTTGAGGGTCAAAAAATACAGCGATTTCCCTTATTCCAATGCAAGCGTCAGAACGCCTACTCTTTTTAGGCATGATTACAATTTTCCGCCCCTTCGTACGCTTCATTCATTTAATACGATTTGAAACCGTATTGTCTCTTCGTTTGTATGTTTTTCCGAATGCACAAGGCTTCTCGTTGCCTGTCAGTTCACCTCCCTCGCTTCACGCCCTCTGCAACTTCTTTCCGTTCTTCATTGTCCTCCTCATTTCTTGTAAGTTTTTCTCTCTTCCATTTTGACTCCTTTTCCTTGTTTGTTTGCTGTTTAGAGTGTTCACTTTACCTGCTATGAACATTTGAAAGCCCTTCTTTCTGCAGATCAAGTCTCTAGTTTCCATCGCCATTTTTCTATTCCTGACGATGTCCATCTGTCACTCTTGGCAGAGAACGTGATTGACACGGAGAGGAATGATAAGAGTTCGATCGTCTTTCCTCTCCTATCAATCGCTGAGGGCGGAGTCCGTTTCCCCCTTCATCCACTTTTGAGGGTTGTCCTTCGCCATTGGGGTTTAATCCCTTCTCAGCCGAACGTAAATTTTTACCAAATAACAATGGGGATTGTAGGACTAAACCGACGCCTTAGGCTTAACCTTGGAATCCCTACCATTCGGCATTGTTATGCCTTGGCCAAATCCTCTGGCCAGCAGGGGCGCTATTTCCTCATGGCCAAGGACACCGAGCATCATCTGGTGACAATGCTTGCCAGCTCTAGCAAGCGTGTTGATGATGTCATGGTCATTGTCCGTGGCAATTGGGAATTCGACGAGGGCGAAGATCGTCAAGATCGAGTGCCTAGGCGAAGGGGCGAACCAGGTGACCGTTTAATCCCCCACGAATTTTTATTAAATATTTACTTAGTTCAAATTCTACGTACTTACCGTTTTATTTGTGCAGGAAACGATTTGAAAAAAGTTCTCGTTTCGGCTGACGACGCTATACTTGCACAGATCAGAGTCGTACTCCAGTTCTTCGGCCATCAGAATCTCCAGAAATAAGGGAAGGCGACCCATATTCTTTTGAGATACTGTAACAACCCCGATCCGTAATTAACGATAATTCATGCTTAAGTGTGCATAATAAGAAATTAAGAAGAAATCTTGAGTTGATTATATGTGCATTGCATCATTTTGTGTTTATATCTGTTTGATGTAGAAAGATCTGTTCATCTTTTGATTTCGATTTGCGAATTGAAGGGCTTATCGGCATCCGATTCTCAAATTGACTTGATTTATATGTTAATTAAGATTTATAGGATTTTATGGTGGATTTAATTAAAATTCGATTCAGAACGATTAAATTAGAATTATTAATGTCAATTAATTAATCAACTCTTGATTAGGCCTATATAAGGCTAATTTGAACCCACTAGTCATGTTTTGCACCTTCATTTTCCTCATCTTATTGCTCAAACGTGTGAGTGAGAGAGAGAGAGGGACGAAGAAAAGATTGAACACAAACAAGAGGGATTGCTAGGAGAAAATGAAGAAACCTTGGAGATTTGATCATCTAGCTCAAGAATTTAGCACCTAAGGCCCAATTGAACATCTATGGTAAGAAGACAAGTCTCTAGACTTGAAATTAAGTTGATTCATCTATGAATTCTAGTAAATTGAGCTAGGAGATGTAAGAATTAAGCTTAAGAAGTGGGGAGAAAGATTAATTCATGCATGCATGTCCATATCATGGAGTTTGAGGTTGATTTCATGGGAATTCTCACATGCATGCTCATCTCTTCACAAAT